TGAAGCAGATAAACAGCAAGGACCTATTGTATGGCACAAGGAACTAGACTCACTATCCTGTAATAATCTATAATGGAATAGAATCTGAAAAAGAATATATATGTATATAGACACACAAATACATGTATCTATGTATACCTAATCACTTTGTTGTACACTTAAAACTAACACAATATTATACATCAACTATACTTCAATAAAAAATTTAAAAATTCTAAACAAACAAAAAAATAAATTTAGTTGGATTCCAGGTAGGCAAAAGAAAATAGATTGATTATAATGAATATTCAGTTTAAAATGAATATTATCATTTTCTTATTAAGTAATATAGTTTCTCCATCCCCTGGAGGGGTTTAAGGAGATATACTTCACATTGAACATTGTATTAGTTTAAGGTGTATAACATAATGATTTAATATATTACTGTAATTTTAGTTAACATCCATCACCTCACATAGATAATTCTTTTTTTCTTGTGATGAGAACTTTTAAAATCTACAAAATATACAATACAGTATAACATAGTTTTGAACCTAAATTACTTAGACGGTGCATTTTTATTGATAAAGTTCTTTGAACTCATTGTAAAAGTAGCTGAATCAATGATTTGCATGTGTGCTTAGTCGCTCAGTCATATGCAAATCTTTGTGATCCCATGGACTGTAGCTGGCCAGGCTCCTCGATTTATGCGATTCTCCAGGCAAGAATACCGGAGTGGGTGGCCATTTCCTTCTCCAGGGGATCTTCCTGACCCGGGGATTGAACCTGGGTCTCCTGCATTGCGGGCAGATTCTTTACCATCTGAACAACCAGAGAAGCCCAAATCAATGATTTACCACAATTCACTATGATAAATTACCTGTTGAAGGTAGAATGACCAAGGCCAAGACTGTGTATTATATTTCCCTTCTACTTTAAGGAAAGTTCCATTAGAAATGACAGCAACACTTTGCCTTTTATAGAACATGAGTCTTCAAAATGTTTTAATATTACATGAAGTGCAAAGAAGTATATCACAAAATTTAACATATCAATTGTAGGACATGGATTAAGACATTTGTTACAATGTAAGTAGCATGGAAACTTACATTACCATATGTAAACTAGACAGCCAATGGGAATTTGCTGTATGACTCAGGGAACTCAAAGCAGGGCTCTGTAGCAACATAGAGGAGTGGGATGGGGAGGGAGGTGGAGGAAGATTCGAGGGGGAAGGGACCTAAGTGCATCTATGGCTGATTCACGTTGATGTTTGGCAGAAGCCAACAGTTCTGTAAAGAAATTGTCCTTCAATTAAAAAATAAATTAATTGAAAAAAAAGACATTTGACTTTGCAGGCAAGACACTGAATCACACCCAGAGAGTCATATCTTTACTTGGCAGAAATATTTTTTCTTTTAAAAAATGTTTATGCTTTATTTTAAAAATACTTGCCGCAGAATATTTAAATTTGAATTTTTATACAATTAAATTTCCATTAAGTCCTAAAATGTTCTGTTATGAAAAGATTGGAGTGAATGTGAATAGAATCCACCAAAACTACTATTTTTTTCACTGTGGTGCTTTGGTTTACAGCTAAGACCTTTTCCTTATCATTAACAGAATTATTGCACTAGTAGGAGAGTGCTAGCCCCTTCAAGTTTGGTCAACTTGCATTCTTTTTCCTCCTCAGTGCAGTCATAGGCCAAATTCCCATTCCCCCATCATCTCTGTTTCTATTACCTTTAAAGGGAATATTGCATTCTGACAAAATCTATCAGTGCTGAAGGAGTCATAACTTAGCCACAGGATATACAGACATTCCCTCGTTTGTGATGGTTCGATTGAAGATTGTTTGACTATGTGATGGTGCAAAGGTATTACACATTTAGTAGACACCATACCTCAAATTCTGAATTTAGACAGTCTCCAGAGCTAAGGATAAGCAGTACAAAAGGCTGGGCAGGGCAGGGGAGAGCAGGGAGCTGCAGCTCTCAGTCAGCTACTAGATGACAAGAGTAAATAACTGAGACACTTATAACCATTCTGTATCCACACGGCTATTCTTTTTTTCACTTTCACTGCCAGTATATAATAAATTACATGAGATGCTCAACACTTAATTAAAAAACAGGCTTTGTGTTAGGTGATTTTGCCAACTGTTGGCTAACGTAAGTGTTCTGAGCATGTTTAAGGTAGGCTAAGCTAAGCTATATTGATAGGTAGTTTAGGTGTATTAAATGCATTTTTGACTTAGGATGTTTTCAGTTTATGATGGGTTTATCAGGACCACCATTGTAAATTGAAGATCTGTAAAGATCACCTTCTACTTTGTTTTCTATATTTTCTTTTTTCCCTGCTATCTTTAGACTAATCCCCAGAATCAAAAATTTCTTGCATGTATCTGAATAATTCCCCTCTGAACAAATTATTTCATAGAAAAGCATGTGTAAACTGCCTCACAGACATTTCTCTCTACAAAGTTGCTCCTTGACTTTAAACACCAGCTAATCATCTGTTTGACAGAAGCAGTCAGAGCTATCCCAATGCCACCTTCCTGCCTCTCACTCCACATAGTGATTGCTTGTATCTCACTTCCTAGAACTGTTTATTATGCTTGGCTTTACATCTTTGAATATATTTGCATGTTTTCTCTTGTTATGTCTTCCTCATTAAATTAGAAATGTCTCAATATTAGACGCAATATTTTCCAATCAGGGATGGACTATTATTTGCCTGCAGAGTTATGAATTTAAATGTAGTGAGTAGCTAAAGTTGCTCAGTCCTGTCTGACTCTTTGCGACACCATGGACTATATAGCCCACCAGGCTCCTCTGTCCATGGAATTCTCTAGGCAAGAATACTGGAGTGGGTTGCAATACCCTTCTCCAGGGGATCTTCCCAACCCAGGGATCGAACCTGGGTCTCCTACATTGCAGGCAGATCCTTTCAAATCCCTTTCTTCCAATTCTCAGAATCTGATTCTAGTTGAGGCACTCATTCTCTCACTTGGTTACTGTAAACATCTTCTAATGATTTAACTGGCCTCTGGTCTCTGACCTGTGGCAATTCACCATTGATTTCCTTCCTAGTCCTCTTTCTAAGCACAGCTCTAATGGTGTTAGTGCCAAGCTTAAAGGCCTTTGATGGTCCCGCACTGCTTACAAGGGCTTCCCAGGTGGTGCTAGTGGTAAAGAACTCGCCTTCCAATGCAGGAGATGTAAGAGACACAGATTCCCTTCCTGGGTCAGGAAGATCCCCTGGAGGAGGGCATGGCAACCCACTCCAGTACTCTTACCAGGAGAATCCCATGGACAGAAGAGTCTGGTGGGCTTAAGCCCATAAGAGTCACAGAGTCAGACATGACTGAAGCAACTTAGCATGTATGCACTTCTTGCAAAATAAAATCCCCAGCCTTTACAATCTGGTCCTAGCTTCCCTTTCTAACCCCATTCCAGTCATTTACCCTTCCTACTCTGTATTTTATGAGCTATTAACTGTTTACCAAATATGTCTTTGCACATTTCCGTCCATCTTTATTCATTTTCTCTTTTCCAAAGATGGGATTCTCCAACTATTCATATCTCACTTTTCAATTATGATCTAGCTTAATAAGATCACCTCAACAACTTCTCTGCTGTTCCTAATCAACTTGTTTCTTCTCCTTTCCAGAGCATGTTGTTTATGATTCAGTTTTAGCACCTACCATCTGCTCTATACTCCAGAGGGGATCTATCTCTGTCTCCTATTTATCTTGTGAGCAACTTGAGGGCATGGATGATGGTTTATTCATCTTTCTAAGGTCACAGCCTGGCAAGTGGAGTTGGAGGAGAAGAATCATTCTCCCTGGGAAAGAAGAAAATACAATATTTCTAATTACATAAAGGAGGGGAATTTTCCAGCCTGTTTCTTGGAAGAAGTTCAAAATTTTAAATTTAGACATTCACTGTACCTGAAATAACTTCCTGGAACTAGAGTTCAGAACCCTTCTTATAAAAACCAGTCTTTCTAGAAGTCAAATTTGTAACTTGTGGGACATGAAAGTTAAGTTTCTAACCAGCCTTATCAAACTCAGAAATCTAACCCCTGAGTTCAGTTGCCAATTACGTATCTTCCGTGCAAACCTGCTAGCTCTTAGAATTTATCAAACGGAAATTCTACAGGTAGGTTAAGAATAACTGTGATCTGGTAACTTCGACAAAAATATTTGTTAAATTCAAAACCCAACGGAGACCAGTCTTAATCCCTTGGGCAGACGAAACCAATTTAGTCATTTCTTGCTTACGCCTTTGGAAATAATAAGCAAAATTTGAACTGCTTCTCAAGGCTGAAATGAGGTAACCGCTGAAAATTCTATTATAACCAATCACTATGAAGAAGAAAAAAATCACTACCTTATCACCATATAAGCTGCTTTATAACAACAATATACCCCGATGCCTCACTCCGTATCTTGGTTTGAGTGATCCTAGTTGACAAACTGTCTCTTTGGTGTGTGCACAATATCCATTTACCAATTACTACTTCAGCGATTTATTGGTTTTACTTCGTCTATTTCTGAGCTTTTGACAATCAATGACACACTACTGTCCTGGGATCTATATCTACTCTCGTCACCACCAGTCAACTGGCACGTGGCTTTAAAGACAGCTCCGTAATTACTTGTAATTCTTGGAGTGCGTGGCAGTTACTTCGCTTTCGTTCACCATTTGATTCTGTGCCAGCAGGCTGTCCGGGTGCTTGGCCGCTGGCACCGCCGAACCTGGCGCTAGGATCGTGGCCTTTCCCAGTCAACGCCGGACCGAGAGAAGTCGGCAACCCCAGCCAGCAGGGAGCTAGGGCTGAGGTTGAAGAGGGGCGCGCAAAGTCCGGCCCTCCGGGCGCCGCGACGCCTGGTGGGTATTAACGAGGAGAACCTCCAGGCCGCCGCCCTGCAGAGCCTCAGCGCCCTCACGCCGCCCGGGTGCGCTCGAGGCTGACCCGCGCCGCCGGGCCCCCTTCTAGAGCAAGAACCCAGCTGGTGGCGGGAGGCGCCGCTCGCCTTGCAGTTGCCGCTGCTGTAGGCGCGCGGAGACGGATCGGGGCTGCGCCAGGGGCCGGCCCACCCTCGCCCCGCCGTCCTTCGGCCCGCGGGCCGCGCCGTTCCGTTATCATGTCGTTGGGGCAGTGGCTGGCCCAGCTGGTAAGCAGTTTGCAGGACCCGCAGAAAGTGGCCCGTTTCCAGCAGCTGTGCGGGGTGGAAGCGCCGGTGAGCTGCACAGCCGCGGCAGCCGCCGACCCGAGGGAGGATGAGAAGGCGGAGGCGCACCTCGCCGGAGAATCCCGGCGCAGAGAGCGGCAACCGGGGGCGGCCGGAGGCCCTCCGCCGCCCGGGAGCGACCGCAATCAGTGCCCGGCCAAGCTGGGCGGCGGCGGCGCCCCCAACGGCGTGCGGAACGGGCGGGCGACCGAGGTGGGCCCGGCCTCGCCGCGGCGCGCGGGGCTTCTGCGCCGCAACTCGCTGACGGGCGAGGAGGGCCAATTGGCCCACGTGAGTAACTGGCCTCTCCACTACCTGTTCTGCTTCGGCACGGAGCTGGGCAACGAACTCTTTTACATTCTGTTCTTCCCCTTCTGGATCTGGAACCTGGACGCCCTGGTGGGCCGGAGGCTCGTGGTCATCTGGGTGCTGGTCATGTACCTGGGCCAGTGCACCAAGGACATCATCCGCTGGCCGCGGCCCGCCTCGCCCCCCGTGGTCAAGTTGGAGGTTTTCTACAACTCTGAGTACAGCATGCCCTCCACCCATGCGATGTCCGGCACCGCCATCCCCGTCGCCATGATCCTCCTCACCTATGGCCGCTGGCAGGTAAGGGTCCCGGTCCTCGCCACGCACAGCCTCCGAGCCCTCGTTGCCCTCCGCAGTCGTTTGATTTTGGCCATTCTCTTCCCAGACTTCTCTTCCCGCAGGTTTTCACAGTACCCCCCCCCCCCCAAAAAAAAACAGGCCCTTTCTAGCTTTAACAATAATAATAATGAAACGGTGGGGAAAACCTAAGACTTAGACATCAAACTCTATTTTACTAGTAATGCTTTTCTTGGAACCTGAAGGAAATACCGTTCGTGGAGTAATACATTATCATCGGGCTTTAGTTGAGTTGATAAACGGTTTTTAATTCTTGTGATGCACAGACTGTCATTATGATTAAGTATATCGTGCTTATAATTAATCCTTGGGTGACTAAGATTCACCCGTTTTATACGGTGCCTTTCCCCAGACTGATTTCTGTTTCAGGCGTAGGTAAAAGTCATTGACTTTTGCTGGAGACAGTGTTTGTAAAATAAACGTGGTCATTCAGGCAATGAAGTAATGAATTTTAAACGAAAGCCACCCTGTGGAAGTTAATGGAGCACCGCCTGAATGCTCTTTTTAAGGGGTGTGGTTGCTAATTTGCTGATAGACACAATTTAATTAGCTTTTGGATCACTGATCTGTACTGTCAGTTGTTGAGCTACAGTATGTTGAATTAACTTTGCAAATACTTGGTTTTAGTTGGTCTTAAAAGTAGGGATCTTGGTCAGACCAGCGGGTTTGTAAAAATGGTAAATATGACAGCCTGACAGCCAGGGATGAGTGAGTTTTTAAACAGTAAACTTTTATATTTTGCGTACTGCTTCTGGCCTCCCACTTTTCAGTTTTTCGTGGTCTGTATATGCAGATTTTAAAGCTAGTTCTTTTTTATATAGAAGCAAAATTTATTTTTAGACTGATGTCTGTTTTATCTGTCACTTTAAAATTCTTATTGAAGTTCAGTTGGTTTACAATGTTGTGTTAGTTATCTGTCTTTTAAATTGTAAGGAGGTTTGTTCATTCTGCAGACCAGTCCCTTAATTTAAGAATAGAGTTAATAAGTATGAAGAATCTAAGGAATCAGACTTCTTGATTTTTTTTTTCCCCCATCACAGCACAAAATTATCTTCTACTGAGAAATACACATCCTGTGTAAACTGTTATGGTAAAGTTACCTATCTCAGACTTAATTTCAATATAGATAAACCCTTGTCCTTATAGACACTTCTGGGCAGTCCATCTCTTACGTACCGTGGAAAATGTGTAATGTGTATAATAAGAATGGCAGAATTATGAGGGAAGAGTACCATGAACTTTTTTCTTTTTCCCTATGCAACCTAAGGAGTTATACAATAATGTTCAGATTGTAAAGTAATGCTGCTTGTTTGCATAATAGGTAAATATCTCAAATGCACTTAATCTAAATACTTCAGAGTTTACTATTGTCATTGAGTTATGATCTTTACTGGTTAGCTAATGATGTTTCTCTTATTTTTGTGAGATTTTCAGGATTCCATAATGATAGAGCCTTTTATAACTCCTCATTGAGTAGCTATGTTGCAAGCAATTAATTTTTAGCAGTCCAGGTAAGAGAAAGTAGTTTTGTTCCTCTTCATTCATCGAGAGCACATGCTAACAGGAAGTCTGAAAACAGTACCACCGGATTGTTTATGGGATGCATCTATCAGTATTTTAACACTTCAGGGTTATTTGAATTACCAGAATATACTTACAATATAGTTTTTCAACAACCTAGTATTTTTAATTCAAAGTTTGAGGGCTTTATATATCATGCAGTTTTAGAATTTGAGCTAGTCAGGACTTCAGACGTCTCCTGGTCTCAAAATGTCATTTTACAGATGTCGAAATTGACCAGTTACAGTAGAATTAATCTTATAAAATTTGTTTATTCTTTTACATGTCCATTACAGGTTTGAATAAACTTCCAAAATTTGAGTAATTATTTGTCTTTGATTAGTTGTTTTGAAAAAAAGACTCCCCTCCATGAAAGTTCTGTATTTATAAATGGCTATAATAATTCAGTACAAGGGGAGTTCAGGATGGGAAACACATGTAAATCCATGGCTGATTCATGTCAATGTATGGCAGAAACCACTACAATATTGGAAAGTAATTAGCCTCCAACTAATGAAAATAAATGGGAAAAAAAAACTAAACAACCTTTTAAATTTTTTACTTTTTTTTAAAAAATCTTGTTATGAATTGAAAACAAAAGTACCTTGCTTTGCTGTAAGGTTTTTAGGTCCCCTTCTCTGCCAGTTAGTATTGTAAGTACTTAGGAGGCTTGTATTTCCAGAGTGAGCAATGAAAATATGTATTGCGAAGTGGGATAGGAATTAAACCATGAAAGCCTAGTGTTTTTCTGAGTAACAGCAGTTTTGACTGACAGTCATTGCTGTCTGCTTGTGCTCCGGCTGCTTGTTCAGGACAGGTGTGTGTGTCTCTTATGTCCGTAGGACGCTGAAACTTCTTTGGAAACTTGAGTTATCTCCCTTTGGTGGGACATCTGCTTCACTCCTCCCTTCATGCAGCTTCATGTTCCTGCTTGAAATCTGGTCATGGTTCACTTACATGAAACCTTTTAAATGAAACCTTTGTGTTCCATATTCATGTTTTCTTAAAATAACAGTAAGCCAGAAAAATTATTAGGGGCTTGCATCAAGAACAGTTCCTATACTTTACTCCCAGAGATTCTGATCCATTAGATAAGTAAGGGGTATTGCATTTTATTGAAATTCCCTAAATATTTTTGAGGAAAAAAAGAATGTATGTTCTTAAGTCCCATCCAGTAAAATTAGTATATTTGATCCTTAGGCTGTATTTTATATTTCTCCAACATTGCTGTCACTGTTCTTTTGCAGTTCTTTTAAAGGTATGTTAATAATACAAAAAGAGAAATTGAAACAGTATGGCTCCAAACAATTATTGATATTCTGGAAGAATTTTTTCCAGTAATGCAGGATAGAAAGTGTTATGGTATTTGTCCAGGTATTAAATAGCTTGATCATATTATTTGTTGGAATTTTTTGTAGTTGAATTGAGAAAAAGTGAGAAATAAGGAACAATAGATATTAAAAACATAGTCTTTTGAAGAATAATATAAACAAGTAAAGCACTCCTTTTATATTTATTCCTGCATGTTCTTTCCAGAAATAAAAAGTCTTAATTTTTGAATAATATGGCATATAATGAGTTCAAATTTTATACTTAATAACATTAAACAATTTTTAGATGAGTTTCATTTTTTAAAAATTTAGTGACATCGTATGCTTTATGGCCTACCCATTCCCAACTAGTCCATATGCTTTCACTACTTTAAAAATTATTATTAAAATAATAGTTATATTATTATCTTTATTAATATTTATTAAGGCCTTGCTATGGGTCAGACATTGTTTGAAATGTTTATTACCTCATTTAGTCTTCTCTTAATACATGCCAATGTTTGGCCCTACTTGTTAATACAAGTTTACAAATTATGAAACTGAGATAGGAGAAGAATAACTTACTCAAAGTTACATAACTAGTGAGGCACAGGCTGACTGTAAACTTATAGACAGACTCCAGAGCTTACAGAGAAAACTCTCTTCGCATCATGCTTTGTGAATTTTAAATTGACTTTGCAGTAATAAAATTTTGAAATAGATATGTGTCCTTAAAATACAAAAACAGCTTTGATATGCCTTGAGATACAATACATGTACAATAGTCACAAATATTTCTTTTAAACATAAGTTGTTGACTGAAACTAAATGCTGATTTAATTACCCTTCCTTTCTTCTATTTTCCTAATATGAATTAAAAAAATTAAGCATAATGAAGGCTTTGGGAAAAAATAAGGTATTTATCATAATATAGTTTATTGTAGATAATAAAGGAGACTATTTGTGAGATTATGAAATGATAAAAGGCAAAGAAGTAAGATTTAGAAGTGTTAGAAAAGTAGGTCACAGATGACAAAGACCAGAAAAGGCTTTAGGAGCCACGGGGTACTGACCATTATAGTAATTCTGGGAAGAAATACAGTTTATTAAAAAATGAAATTGGCTTGCTACTTTATTTCTTTTTAACTAGCTGATACTTGTGTTTGAAATGCACATTTTTCTGATTTTGTACATGCTTATTAATAAATCTCAATTTTAAATTAATTTATTTGAATAGATAATAGATTGTTGAAAATCCAATGTTTACATAAAAAATGTGAAGAGGAGAGTGGGACAAGCCCCGTGGCTCAGCAGTAAAGAATTCATCTGCAATGCAAGAGATGCAGAAGACTTGGGTTCGATCTCTGTGTTGGAAGATCCCCTGGAGACGGGCCTGGCAACCCAGTTCACTATTCTTGCCTGGAGCATTCCATGGACCGGGGAGCCTGATGGACTTATACAGTCCATGGGGTCGCAGGAAGTTGGACACGACTTTAAGCTACTGACCACATGAAGAGGAGAGTACAGTTTTCCTTTTTGTTGTCACAGCTAGGAGGCTCTCTTTTCCAGAAGGATTCATCATTAGAAATTTCTTATTTAATCTTCTGGAGATAGTCTACTTTGGTAGCGGTATATTTGTATAGTTTGTTCTTCCTACAGATGGCAACATACTATACTGTTCTGGACCTTGTTTTTTTCACTTAGAAATATATTGTGAAGGTTTTCCTCTTCTTTTACCCAACAGTTAATGAATACTAATTGTTTTAAATGCCTTGCATGACTTTCAATCCCCAGAAAATCCCATGAGTATTGTCACTTGTTTGCAGAAGAAACTGAGGCAGAGGAAGTTAAGTAACTTGCCCAGAATGACTCTGCAGGTACCTAACAGAGCCTGGATTTCAGATTCAGGCAGTCTGGCTCTGAAGTGACCCCACACTGCTGTGTTATACTGTGTCTCTGTATTAGCATTTTCCGTTGAGAGAGCTATCTGATTTTTGCACATGTGCGTGATGTTCCAGTACATTAACAGTATGATTTACTCAGAATTTGATTATTCCATTACTGCCAATTCAA